TGGGACACATCTCACACATAGTTTTTTTTTTTTTTTTGGAACACGTCAAGTAGAAAATTCGAAAAATAATAGATACTATATCGATCAAATTTAAACAATATAGCGGTCTAAATGATGACGTAAAAAATATAATTTGAAGTTAGAGTTTTTTTTGCTTACTGTCTACACAATGTGAAAAATTTTAGTAAAAGCTTAAAAATGTAATATTGTAGTTCATATTATTATTATTAATAACGAATTAAGTTATTTCATCAAAGATTATGTAATACATATTATTTTACAAATTAGTTATGATAAATATCAACAATAAACGAGGTTTTCGTATAGACTCATACATAATACAACTATCCTTATAGTTAATAAAGCATCATAGCATAATGAGCACAATATTTTAATCACCGTACTCCCCATATTGTATGATTACTTATATATCAAATAATATTAGGAAGAAGTGCTTATAGTCTACCAAAAAACTCTTGATCCCCTCTTTCAAATATTTTCTAATTCAACCTTGTCGGTAAAATAAATTATGTTAATACATAATAATTGGTATTTTCAGTTATTCAGACTATCAACAATATTTACCGCCATGCTGGAGCTCTACTTAAAATAGATTTTATTATTGTTCATTTTTTTGATTTTTTTCGAGTACACGATTTGTTCATGTAACAGATGATAGACATTTTGGAAGTGCAACTTTTACTTTGGATTTTTTGATGATTTTATTCATAACTGAAACATAAATTTATACGCACATTTTATGAGTTTTTAGTGTGCAATAGGCAATTAAAAATATTATTTTATGGAGTGATGTTTAATGCATTGTTAAAATTTAGGAGGTATAAAATAGATGAATATAAAATTTAACGTAATCTTAGTTTTATGACTTTGTATGTTTATAAAATGAATAATATAACTCCAAAATAATATTAACCAATAAAAATTATCACCGATGAATAATTTTATTTTTTCGTTATTATTTTTTAATCATAAAATTATTAAACTTAACATATGTATCAAATTACTTTTTTGTAATAAAATTAAAAATATAAAAACATTTATAGTTAATTTTGCATTATTGTGGTTGAAAGATATTTTTGTTTTTTTTTTTTTTAGAACATTTTTATTAGTTTTTAATTTTTAAGGAATTTATGTTACAATTATACTAATGACCTTTCTTTAAGATTATTTAGATTTCAATAACCTAAAAAAATCATAATTGAAAAAATCTCTATTTTTACATTTTGTTTAAGTTTTTTCACTGATTTTCTTCCTCAAAACAAAACTTTTACGTATATGTGACTGTAATGATGGCGTAAAACAATTATTTTAATGTTTATAGAAGTATATTGAGTTAGGTTAAGTTAGTGTTATTTTTAATCTTTGATTATAATTTATAACTAATTAATATACTTCTTTATTTTGATGCATATTCTATTATAATAATAAATTTAGAGTTCACAATCTTTATGGTTACAGTTTATGCAATATAATAGTTATATTACATGCTTTTACAAACGTTTTCTTGATTAAATGGAAGTTAGATAGAACTGTATTTTTTTGTAAAAATGATTACAGTAAGTATACATATAATAAATTATTTCCATATACGAGAGTATTAAAAATTTAAATCATTGATTCATTTTATTGTGTAAAATGCATGGCTTTTGTTGTTACCTTAAAATGTATATACACGATATAAAATTTAATACATTCATAAAAATAACATTGTCATTTTGAGATGAAATTAATTCATTAATAGTCGTGTTATCAGGTATGTTAAGTTATATTTAATATGGCTAAAAGTAGTATAATTGTATGCACATAAAAAAAAAAAATAAATAATAAAAATATTATTTTTGAATGGTTTTTTTGAAACGACATAAATAAATAATTGAAATTAATGATATATAGTACTAACTGTTTTATTCTTCCGATGAAATATTTTGTTTGAATTTTTGAAATTTTCAAACGTTGAAATTTACATATTATTACAAGTTATTTCAACTATTTGCTAAAAATTTAATTATTTTAAAGTTCTAAGCATTCGTTAGTTGAACATAATCGCATATTTTTATAAATTTTACAAACAATACATTTTGATTTTAACAATTTTATTCGTTGATTTTCCACCACGATAAACATTTCGTATTTGGTTACATAATAATATGAATTAACGGTAAATAATATGTTTTTATTATTAGGCGAGTAGAATCAACTAAATTTCGATTAAAATTAAAACTACGTTTTTTATAGATCAAAAATATGTAGAAAAATTGTTATGTTCCAAAACCCAAAGATATCTATTTTAATTTAATTTTTTAGATTTTCAGCTTAGAAAGGTATATTTTGGTTTTATAACAATAGATACAGTTTTTTAAATATTTTTTTTTTTTGGGTAAAGTAAAGAAGCTTAAAGAAAGTTTTATGAAATACTTATCTACAGATAAAAATTGAATACCAATTGCTATGTAAGAAAAGAAAACAGTAAAAAAATGTTTGCCAACAAAGGTAGTATTTGTTTTTAGTAATAAGTCGATTAATATTCAAAACAATTTTATAAATAAAACAATGTATTATTACACTGAAATTTATAAAAACCTAAATCAGTTTCTTACCTATAAATTTAACATGTATATTTTGTTTGATTTAATTTTCTTACGAGACCTCATGAGTTGCAACAACTTATAGAACGAAAGTTGTTATAAACATTGACTTTTTGACATAATAAAATTATATTTGATGAATACTACAATTTGATTATAAATATATTTATATATTTTAATGTAATGGAGTAGGTATCAAGTTTTTTCAATAAACAAAAATAAAAAATATATATTTGATTTATTATTAAAATAAAAATGTATATACTATTATAATAGGTACTGATTAATGTTAAATTGATTTTAATTTCTTTTAAAATATCTTTGTCAATGTGAAAATCAATTCAAAATAAGCATAAAATAATTTATTAATATAGCATTTAAAATAAACGCCATGAAATATTTTAAGAAGCGATCTATCATATTTATTAGAGGTGAATAGTAAATGAAAAAGGAACAAATGGAATTCGTGGTACAAACATAGAATGATTTTTACTATGGAAACGAAGGGACGGCATATTTTAAAATGGAATGAGTGAAAAGTGACAAAGACTGAAAAGAATAATGAAAATACATCTTTTATAATAAATTTAAAATACCACTGAACTTAATGTCATAATATAAAACACGATTATTTGTTGATACTGTTTAGTACTACTTTACATATCAAAGTAATGAGATTGAAATGAAAAAAAGTAATAACAATTTCAAGCTTAAAATTCACAAGATCTCTTCAATTCATCAATGTACAATAATACAAATAACATCTGCAGTATTCAATACTAAGCCATATGCTCGAATAGTTAAATTAAATTAAATTTACTTACCAATTATTATTCTCGTAGTTAATATTATTGAATTAAGTTCTGATGTACACATACGGTTTTCTAAAATAGTAATGATTACATTTCGTCCGCCATCTAATTAAGTTTACTTAGTGAAATTCAATAGTGTTTAGGAATTGTAACTTTCTTTGTACACAAACATTATTAATATTACTTTTCCATAACAATATGGAATTGTATTACTAGGCACATAGTATACGTTAGATGTCTGTTGAGCGTTAGTAGGTACATATATGACATAAAATATAAATATTTATTAAAATTTAAAATTTATTATATACTAAATATTATAACTCGATATTAAAATTTTCTAGTCTAAACATATTATACTCACCTATTTACATGATTATTTTACACACAGGTTGTATACTAATAACACATATTTAAAATTAAATAATTTAAAATCCCAAAATATAAGTTTTACGATATCTATGTTATAGACGTTTCGAATATTAATAAAGTTAATAGTTCGATTTTTACTTTTGTATACTGTTTAAAAATAAAAATAATGACGGAAAGTAGATCTTTAATAGTCCTGTAGTAATAATAGGATTATTGTTAATAGTTTAATTGAAAACACAGTAATAGATTTAGTAAAATCATTTTAGTATTTTTATTTTTTATTTTTTTCTTGCTTCTTGTTTATAAATATTGGTATTTGGCCTCTTTAACTCTGACTTGGAATTAGATTTATTCGTTTGTTTTCGTAATATGGAGTTTTACCATTTGTACCTGATGAAATTATTTTATACCTATGTAATTTGTCGGTTTGCTTCAACATAGTTATATTTTTATTCTATCTTATACAATCATTCATAGATTTCAATCTTAATTTTTCACCATAAATAATACGTATTTAAAGTAAATGTAAATGTCAAGAACTATTAGATTTGTTAACTTTTAAATTGAAATATATATTTAAATCTTCTATTAATTTACCGGTATTTCTTTCAAATGTTTATTTTACCATGTATACGAGTAAATAGTATAATAATATTATGTAAATATTTAAATTTTATACATATTTCGTAATAACCAATGGTCATAATTTATTGTAGTAGCTCTTTCTAAAGAATAAAAATATTCCTTACTTTTTTATACTTGTTGTTTATTGTTTCAGGTTTTATTAACTTATCATATTACAGCAAATGATTGAAGATTTTAACATATTTATTATTTTTCTGTGTAAGTAATAACTAATAAGCATTTGTTTAATAGGTATAATTGTATCATGAAGTATTTTATTAATTTTCCTTATTTCGATTTATTGTGTGCTAAATTTTTTTTTGCGTTGATCTAAAAGAAGACAAATATACTAATACACATGTATAATGCATACTGCAATATTTCACGAGGGTTTAATAATTAAAACAATGGATTAATTAAAATGTCATTTACTGGGAATTTTCAAATTAGAAAATAATCACTGAACTACCTACTGCAGGCTGTGATCAAATAAAATAAACCTAATTTATTATAAATGAATACATAATATTATATTTTATTATATTTATATTGTTTTAAAATTTAAATAGATATTTAATTTACGGAGATGCTTACAGGAGCTGCACTTTATGATCATTATTGATAATAGATTATAGTATACATATACAATTTATGTTACAACTCATAGAATACATTTTAAAGTTATTTAAATGCGTCATACTTATGATTTAAACGTAAAATATAATGTACTAGCTGACGTCTGTTTGCGTATTATACTGTACAGATAACTGCAGATACCTTACTGATACTTCAATTATTTTAAATTTTAACATTTCTGTGTAGAAGATATGTATGATGAGTGTAGGCTGCAAGTCATAATTATCGATATCCTAAACTTGACATATATATTTATCCAGATTGTTCCAGTTGGAAGAGTAATCAATTTTCATATGACCAAGAGTGTTGTAGCGGAATTGACTAGTTACCATATTTTCAGTTGAATTATATTCTCCACTATTGGCCATGTAAGCTCGACACAGAACTGATTCCATGTCTCTGAAAACATATTAATATTACCATTAATCGTGTTGTTAATATAGTGGTAAATAGATATTGTGTACCTATTAAAATACAATAGAAACGGCATTATTTTAACCTAATTTATTGTAACTGTTTTTTATATTTCAACTGTAGAATATAAATAGAGTATTAGATATATACTCTGAAAATAATTAACTAATAATATTTTATTCTTGTACAACTATAAAATAAAAAACAAGAAAATGTACCTAATATATTTTTAGATTATATTAAAACCATTACTATTTAAAAAAAAATAGTTAAACTAAATTCTTTTTTTTTACAGATAAATGTTATTTTGTAATGAAATCCATCAGTCAAACTCAGCTCTTACAAGATTTTAAAAATGGTTCCATCGTAATAAGTTTTGTATAATGAGTATATTTTTCCATACTGCATTATTCATTGTGTACAAAATCAATAGTCATTGTCGTTCAAAGTTCAAATATGAAAAAAACTTCGTGTCATAAATGCAGTTACATACAATTTTTTTCGTTGTGGAATCTATGGGCCACGACAATAATATTTATTCAAATATTAAATTTTAAAATTACATTTTTTGAAACTGTATTTGTAAAATATGGACGCTTAGATTAGATGAAAATTATATTATAATATTTAATTCTTAATTAAAATATTAATTATTATATTACATAATATCTATATTATTTACAATCAGTTGAACAGGTACATGATGTATGAATTATTATTATTATTTATTATTATATGTATTCATTGTTAAGGTTTTGGTTAAATAGCTTTTTTTCCTAATAATAAGAAATAACCTGGTGAAATACCTAAAGTATATTAAAAAAAAAAAAAAAAGAAAAGAAAAAACCGTTTTTTATTATCATTATTTCGGTATAGGTATTTCAATTTAATCTCACAAGAATCAATAAAATTCTACAGGAAGTTTTTAATAATTTCGTTGATATTATACGTATATGATATTAGAATATAGTCGTAATAATGTTTAACGTGTGTAATGTAAAAAGTTTTCGATAGCTTTTTCAAACTTCCGGAAGAACGGTAGAATGGTTTTACAGTTGAAATATTTTCAATAAAAATTGTATTTCAAAAAGGTTTTATAAACTTTCATTCACACAAAGAGATTTGCATACGCACACATATAATATAAGATTTCTACATGAATGATTATCAGGAAACAACGGTTAGTTAATATCATCAACGGCTGCAATATTTTCTAGATTATAACGAAAAGTATAATACTCTGCTATTATACTGGTTCATTCATCTTACACAAAAATAAATGCACAATGTAGTATATAATCAGTAATCACAACAATTCTATAGTCGAAACATCAGTGTTTTTGTTCAGTGCTTAGATGGACCGGTAACAAAAAAACATCAGTTATTATTTTTTCTATGAAAGTAAACACTTAAATTGATATTTTTAATAAATTTATGAAAATATAACGTTGTCAAATATTTTGACTGTGGCTTATATTTATATATTATCAAAACAGGACTAATTACGTATAGCGAAGTGTACATTAGTACTATTGGATATAAAAGTACAAGTCTTATCGATCATATTCTTGAATTTTCCAATATGTCCTCATGTCAACACCCAAATACGCAATTCATTACAGCACATCCTAATATATTTTTTTAAACATATATTTCGTTTAAAAATACAAATTGATTCGTATATAATAATAAAAAAAATAAACAGCCATAAAAACAAAATTATGAATCGAAAAAAAATAAATAACAAACATTATTTAAATAAATAAATAAAAATAATAGATTCACTTATATTAAATTGGCATTAAATCATTATTTTAAAAATTACAATTTGATTTGACTTTATACAAACTCTTAAATTGTATATTTTATTGCTTATTTTTTTTTTTACCATACATATTTGGATTTTATCATTTTGGATGATTATGTTTGACGATGATTTAAATAAAAAAAGATAACGGGTATTTGGGTAATATTATTTTTTTTAAAGTATCCTATTGTAATATAAGCTAATGGAATCAAAATATACAAATGTGCGATGGAATTTTTAGCTGGTAGAATCAACGTACAAAAAAGTCCAGCAGAATCGATAGCCGACGGATTCGATAAAATCCCAGTTTACAAATAATGTCGAAGTATACAAACAAACAATATACTCGTATGTATATATTTTTGAATTTTTTCCATACACGAGTGGTTTTGGGTCGCTTTTGGGGTGAAAAAAGCGATGTTAGCAATAACTCATAGTGAACACTAAACACTCTGATACGCCAAACTATTGTAAGTGAAATCTGCTGAAAATATAAATAATAATAATACTCTTATTACTATTATATATAACATTTGAGTAGGATTCAATAAAAGTGTGAAGTGAATTTATTATTGTTTGCAGACTATTCCAATACAGAGTTACTCAAAAAAAAAAAAATCTGTAATTTGGTAATCTCGAAATATATTGCAATGAACATGCTTTCAGCCAAACACTTAAAATGGCAGATGTAGTACCTACTCACATAGGCACATTTATATATATTACTTTACATTACATGGCACTATATACTAACTTTGTAATATAAATTATAAACCGTAAATAGATTTCAATTGAAATGTTTGTACACACATAAATAAATAATACAGTAAAATAAAATTTACAGAGTGATATATAAAACATGCTCACTTTTTTTTTCTGCAATAATGAAGTATGAAGTTATTCAATATTTGATAATTGGAATTTTTAAATATTTCTACTGACCATATTTTCAAGTTCAAGAAAGTTTTCATACTACTTAAGAAGTGTCCTGTGAAGATACAAACTTCTGATTTTCAAATTCCAACGAAAAATTATAAAACATTAATAGGTAGTAAAAATGGTCTTAGTATAATAAATAAATTATGAGTCGAAATCCTTCCACATAACCTTAATATTATACCCTCATGACTGGTCTCCTCTGATCTATATTAGCAACACGCAAATACAACTGAACAGTTCATAAAATATCTCGGGATGTATCTAGACGTATAAAATCGTTAAATCATAGATTTAATCATTTGTATTTCATATTAAAATTCAAATTATAACTGTAAAATATTAATATATTTTTAAACAAACTACTTATTCTCCCTTTAGCTTCTTATGGTACCAAAATTCGGAGAGCATTCAAAACTCAATTATTATTAAAATTATACAATCTTTTCAATCATATCCATCCAAATAAATATTATATTACTTTAAATTAAATATACCTACATTGTAAATAATAAAAATATATAACAAATACTAGATATAATATTACATCTATTTTATGTTTTTGTAAAACCATTTTTAAGAACCCATAGTATAAAAATTGTATTAAATGACGAAATATTCATTGGAATTTTGTTTAAGGTTTATCTAAATTTTTAAAATAATTATCGTTAGTTTATAGTGAAAAAGAAAAGTCTGGGAAATAAAAGTTTATACTGAAACATCTCAATAATTTGAATGGCATTATGTACATTCAAAAATTCCAAAAATGAAAATGTTAATACATTTTTTTGCTCAATGTAAAATGGGGGTGAACATTCATGGTGAATTATCCAGTATAATATATATGTTTGAGTATAAAATTGTGTAGGTATTTATATTTATTTATTTTTTTACGAGCCCCAAAGCCTACGAATTTGATACGCGTAAAATATTATATAATCATTAATAGTGTATATTTCAGGATGCGCATGCGTACGAACACGCGTATAGGTTCACGCTACATGTACACGTGACGATTTGTTTATCCGAATGAAAACTGTTAAGGTTTTTCAAATATAGAGTTCTACAGCGTTCACTAGTTCGTACAATGTACATTACATTAATATGATTATACCTATAGTATTAAAACGATTAATATGATTTCACAGCGTTTATTGTGGAAAGAATATTTTCCTATCGAAACATAATTAAATCCCACCGGTGCGTGATGCTTGTACAACGGTAGCTGTACACTTTTTAAGAGCGTTCAAATTAAACTACACACGTTGCATTCTTGGAAATTATTTGCTAAGACTAACACAGCTTGTGCACAGTTTCGTCTAAAATATAATATAATGGATAAGTGTAAAAAGTATAACAATACATTGTACTACCCCATTTAGTCGAGCTTGTGTGTATTTGATTGAACAGTGTAAAACGTGTAGTCTACAACTATTATTCCCGTAAATTAAAAAATAAATTGATCATTACGTCGGATTTATACATAATATATTTCGAAATCGTTGCATAAAACATATTTGTTTTGTACCGTATACGATTCGCCTGTTACCAAGTGTAAAGCTCATTATATAGTATAATATATTGTACATGATATAATTTAGGTGATATAGTACATCAAAAAAAGTATTTCAATTTTTCAGAAGCAAATTTATCATTTAATGTATAACGATGTTAATAAAATTACGGAAATCGAAATATTATTGTATGGTTTATTGTTAAGCATGGAATAATAAAAAAAAAAGTACCTACTTAATAAAAGTAGATTAGTTGTAGTCAAAAGTTAAAAACTTGTATCAGCTATATTATTTTAATTTTTTGTTGTAGACTGCAATTAGATTTTTTCGACTAAGCATTTTATTTTATGCTGTGGAATTCTAAACAACCGTGAACTGTATTAAAGTATATAGATATATTATAGGTATTACTCGATGTGGATAAGTACTCAATTTTATTGTTTATTTTTTCACAAACTTCACAAAAACAGAATTAATAACCTAATAATATAACATAATATAAATTTATATATTTATGTATGTCTGTTTGTAATGTTTGTATGTTTGTGTGTGTGTGTATGTGTGTGTGTATCCACGAACAAAAACTGAATTATATTATTTCATTTGTTATATTTACATATTATTTTGAATGATATACTTACATAAAAATGTAGTTTGTTAACATTTGGTTGAAAAAAAAATATGCGCTTAACAAAATGCCCAACTATTGTACTTATTATAGTTATTAC